GACATATTTGCCTGTAGGGATTGGTAAGTATTGCTCTTACATCTCAAATACTTTGCATATTCAAATTTCCGCCTATTTGTATTTAAATTGATCTGTTCACCAACTTTGATAAAAATAAATTTGGGTGCCAACTTTACTCGATCAGCTCCGCGTAAACAGGCCATGTTTGGGTGATGTCTGACTCCGTTTACATCAGCATTTAATGACCACACAGAACTATTAATCACTCTAATCTACCATTGAGTAATTGGCTGTAAAATAACCGAATAACTTAGAGTTATTCTTAGGTGTTTTATTTATACTTATTATTTACCTGACTTTACTTTTATTATCATTATAATAATACTTGGGCCAATATATTCAGCTATGCTCCAAAGTGGTGTTTTACTCAGTATTCGATGGGCTTGTTTCTTTCCAGTATGGTTCGGAGTTCGAGGTTCTAAATGCCCATAAAATGTCCCTATTTTTCCCAGCTTACCAAAGAGGTAATTGCCCAATGGTGTCACCGGATGACATTCGAGGAGATCGCCATCAGTGGTGGATGTCGTTGCCCTGGAGGAGAACCACCTAGAATTTCTGATTTAGAACTGGATATCTTCCTTAACCATGTGCTTTCGGCGGATCAACCTGCTGTTGTCATGGTAATCGACTCGAGGTCAGTGGCTCTCTGATTTTGCCCAATTATCTTACTAGATCCAGCTCTGCCTTCTACAGCTGAATCTAGTTCTTTACAAAAGCATTATAGATATGAAGAAAAACTGGGTTTCGATTAATATCTTGAGATAATATTATTAGGGGGACTTTCAGTGGGCTCTTTGCTTAATTTTCTTTCCAACCATAGTTACAAGACTACTGTTGGAATTTTGAAGTCAATGATACTTAGAAGTATGAGGCTAGCGGATAGCAAGCATTTGACTCAAGAGTTGCAACGGCTGACAACTATATTCCTTAAAAATAATTAGCCTTTATGCCTTATTAAGAATAATATCTCTCTACTGAGAAATAAATTTTCACACAGAGACCATTTAGTCAAAGAGAGATAGACTGAGACCTTTTTCCATGTCCTAATTTTGCCGTCATGCCTTCTCTCTAAAGATTTAGGCGAATTAGTAAAGAAGTGGAGCATTAAAATAGTGTTCAAAGAAATCCTTACTTTCTTCTATTATGCCATCTTTTAGAGAGAAATATGACCCATTATCTAGATCCGGCTGCTATAAGATTTTTTTCTTTAATTATGCCATCTTTTAGAGAGAAATATGACCCATTATCGAGATCCGGCTGCTACAAGATTGTTTGCTCATGTGGTTGATGTTATGTTGGTGAGACATGCCAACCTATTCAACAAAGATTGGTAGAACACAAAAATGCTTGAAAAGATAGCTGGATCAAAGGGTCAGAAGTGGTAGAAACTGGACATGAAATAGAATTGTCTCAAATTTGTAGATTTGCTGATTATGTTACGTCTGTGGTTAAAAGAAAGGTAAGAGAGGCTATTGAAATTAATAGCTTAGGAAATACGTTGAATATGAGGAGCGGTGGTAGAAAATTGAGTAGCAACTACTTATACTTTATTGATAGATTGAAAGACAGAGAGGGTGTTGAGCCGCCGTCAAAAAGAAGGCGACTCAATTTTTCTGCTCGGTAATGGTTTTAACTTCACTCACACTCGTCCAACATGTCAGATTAATTTCATCAACCAAACCAGACGTGCCAAATTACGCAGCCCCAGTCATGCCTTTCCTTAGAGGGTTAAACGTT